AGCCACACTGGCTCCAGCTTCCACTCTGCCTGGCTTTTCCAGCTTCTGGTAAGTGTATCAGATCCCCCAGCCAGGCACCTCCTTGCCCAGGCTCCAGGGAGGCTCTAGCAGAGCCCTGCAATCTCCTGGTTGTGGCAGGGAGGATGTTGGGCCTGACGCTGCCTGGCTGAGCCCAAGTCCAGGTTGTGTTCCTTTCTCGCCAGTGATGTTGGGGATGATAGCCTTCTGAGCTCAGTTTCTGCATCATGTCGGGCCTGGAACAGGGTTGCTTTGAATATGAAGCTGGATCCATTTGCAACACCCTCTCTGAATTTAAGGTCCGTGTTATTTTAAAAAGACCTATTATCTGAGAATGCACAAGATGCTAGATGGAGATTGATCTGGGTCACTTGAATTGCTGCATCTATTCGGGGATGATAAGGAGGGGAACGTCACCTGAGGACCTCCACACTTAATTCCATTGAGGACAGAAATGAAGGGTGAGGGATTCTGGAGTGGCCTGATTTCTGGTTCTAAATCAGGCACCATTGCTGGACAGTGACCATCTCTTGCTTCCAATGCACAAGGACCTCTTGAGAAAGTAATTGAAATAGAAAGAACTGCTTCAAGGTACCCAGCAGAATGATAACTATTCCCCATTTGATACAATCTACACATCTTGATTAGCTTAATAAAATAGTTTGAATCTATGTATGGATTCTCTGGTGTAGACAGACAACAGATCCACATCACTGTTTTTCAGCTGAGTCATAAGCTGGATTAGGTGACATGAGGTGTCATAGCCAGCAGCCTGAGAGAATGAAGAGCTATATGTGGTGTGGCCCCATGATGTTTTGAGTCCTCCCTCTCTCGAAGATGTAGTGACATTTTATCTATCATCTATCTATCTATCTATCTATCTATCTATCTATCTATCTATCTAATCTATCATCATCATCATCATCATCATCATCTATCATCTACTATCTACCTTTCAAATTGGCCCCAAATGATCTGATTTCAGTGAAAAACCAGGCACTGTCCCCTAGAATCCATAGGGATGCAGTGGATGCACTCCCTGGCACTTGACCAGCCGCTCACAGAATGCCTTGCATTCCATCAATTCCTGCTGGCCAGTCAGGCACATGACTAGGTGCTGAATTGAGACAGATGAGCCTGCCTCATTGGTCTGGGTAAGCACAGCTCTGAACTCACTGCGTGCTAGAGGAAAGGGTGTCTGGGTGGCAGAGGGAATGATGGCAGTGCTTGGTTCAAGGGACAGTCATCTCCAAGTCCAGAGCCTAATCTGCCTCGGTGGCCACTGCACGGTGGGGCCTGGTGGAGTGGCAGTGAGGACCATGGCCTGTAGATCAGAGGAGTCACAGGACTGATGTCAAAGTCAGTGAAGGCAGATGAGCTGAAACGTGTCAGACCATGCCTTGTGCCTCTCAGCACTGTCTTTGGAAAGCCCTGGGAATGTCCCTGGTCTGGTGCTTCTCCCCGGAGGCACCCACATTCTGCTCTATTGCCCCAATGATGCTTGATGAGCCAGCTGCCCTGTCTTTTCCACCTGGTGGATTTGGGCAAATTTCTTGGGCCCCCAAGTGCCTACCCCTGACCTAGATGTACTCTCTACTACTCAGGCCTGTGTGGCACTCTACTCCCCCTGGTCACCATGCCCTGCTGTGTCAGGCCGCTGTACTCACTCTCCTCATTTCCCTGGAGTGTGTTCAGAGGCTGCCGTGAGCCGTGCCCCCTCTGTTATCCCTGCAGCACAGGGCAGCTGCTGGCCCACGGACGCCTGCTGTACCCTGAGCACAGGATGAACAGTTCCCGCCCTTCCCTCCTCACCCATGTGGAGCTTTGACCCTTGCTATGGGGCTCAACAAGACAACAAATTGATTATTCGTTTTACATGCTTGTCTGGCAGGGAGCCAGCAGTCTGCAGGCCCCAAGCATCTGTGGGTTTGGTGTCTACACTGCTTTGTTAGGTTGAGCAGAATCTTCAGATGAAGCCCCAGGGGAATGAGGTCACCACTCCTTGGGCATTACATCCCATCCTGAAGACCAGGGAAGGGCTTTCAAGAGGTCATGAAAGAGGGGACATCACAGCCACAGTGTCTTTCCACTTGGGGTTCTATCTGAGGCTCCCAACATCAAAGGCAAAACACAGGTATGAATGTGGCCTCTAGGGAAGAGATGGGACAGCTGCATTTTCCAAGAGGGCAGCCTCAGCTCAGGAGCTGAATTTTACACTTAACGGTTTATTGGGTTACCAGAGGTCAACACCCATGACAACGAATACAGGTGAACTTTGAGGAGTATGAACCGTCCTCATAAGGGCTGGTGCTCAAGCCACTCCACAAGGGGCCCCTAAGAGACCCTATAAAACTTCAAAAGCAAGGACAGAGGCCCTGAAAAGCAGCACTGGCCTGGGACTCAGCTGCTGTAACCATTTGGCATCTGTGTGCTGGAGTGATAGCAGCTATTGGCAAACAGGCTGATGCATTTTAAAGCCAGAGGCTGCTCTGAATGAGATTTCCTCTAACATCTCAAGAGGTACATGGTGACTGGCTGGGTGTGAGGAATGTCCTGTCCCAGCTTCTGGAGTGTCTGGTCCTGTTTCCTAGTTAGAGCTGTGGGGCCTGACTGTGACATCTTGGGCAGCTGCTGAGGGCACAGTGATGGCCAGATGCAACCTCTCCCGCCAAGTCCTCCTTGGGAGCTACCATCATTTCCTGGGGAAAGCTGGACAATCTGGTCAGGTAGGGACACCTGTTGAAGTGGAGATCGTTGGTGAAGCCAGGACACCTGATGAATACAGGGTTGCCCAGTGAAGCAGGGGCAGAGAGGAGCTTAAGGGAGGTGAGATAGGCAGTCTGGGGATGTCTCTAAGGATGCGCGAGGGAGATGTGTAGAGGAAGATGACCTGATCTAACCACCTGTACCAAGGTTTTCTTCTCCAGGGAAGTCACCTCAGTTCCTGTCACACCCCTACTTGATCCCACCACCCTCTGGCAAAGATGATGCTGTGAAACAAAAACCAAACTCACTTTTAAGTTCCAAAGAGTCTCGGCTCACAAACAATGTGGTCTATGCCCAGATGAGATTGTTCTTGCTTGGTAGAGCCACAGCCGAGGCAGTGTGGTTTTTAAGAGGAAGCTGAGTGGGCTTCGGATGTGATGGTCAGGGTTGCATCTTGACTTTGCTATTTCCCCGGCATGTGATTTTTGGGGGAGAATGACTTATAAAATTATTGTAGTAAAGAGTTTTTGCAAGATTGCAGGGAGTTGCTATGGGGGGAACTTCACCTGCGGCCAGGGGCGAGCTGGCAGGTCCTACCTGTGTGTGTGTGGGCGGTGCCAGGCTGGGCCTCCCATCTTTGCTCTACAGCTGCCGCTTACATGGTGCTGGCTGAGCTGCCTTCTCTGAACTTCAGTTCTGCTGCCTGCCTGCCAGGGTTTGTGGGACCACGTGAGCTGCTGTGGGTCCAGTGCCCAGGGCAGGGCTTGGAGAGGACAGTGCCTCTTCTGTGGTGGCTACACCAACTAAGGAAATGTGAGTCTAGAAAGGTACTCACATTTCCCGCCACACCAAGAAGGTTGCAGTGCTAAGCAGCAGTCACCAATAGAGCCACCAAGGATGGCATGCAACCACCCCTGCAACACCAATGCCAAGCCCGTTGTAGGATGGGGCCACACCGGGTCTCCCTGTCACAGGAGCTTCAAGGCCACACATGCTCATTCAGTTGTCCTCTGGCTGGTTTGGCCTTGATCCTAGCACCCTAACTCCCAGGGCCATCTGCCTTGTGTGGTCTTGTGCTGGTTCTTGGGGAAGACTTCACAGAAACTGAGGAAGTACAGGGAGGCCTGAGTCCTTTTAGCCTAAAGCTTTTCCATGTTGAAAGACAGGGGGCTAAGAGAAGACGGGAAGGTGGTCTAGTGGGAGACAGAGCACCTGCGCACCAGAGGCGGAGATATAGCACCCATGACGGTGGTGGGGAAGACATCCGGCGTGGACTCTACTTCTTAACCAAATGCAAAGATATGGAACTTTGGGCACTTCTTGAACTTAAAATGGACTGATTTAGGAGAAATACAAAGGCCATTTTGCATAAGGCCGCTCACAATGAATACACCCTGAGATACTGGGCAGAAAAGATGTGAGGATGCAAACAAGTGACAGGATGAGCTATCCAGGATACTGAGAACCACTATGGCCACCCCATCTCCAGTACACCAACCTGGGCCAGGCATTGGCCTATGCCCGTGAATTCACCAGCAGTCCTCAGAAGTGGGCTAGAGATGAGATTCAGAGATGTGCACTTGTATGGATCACACAGAGGGCTTGATCCCAATCCATGTGTTCTATCACCAGGTCACTCTGACTCTTACAGGGAGGTTTGGGCTTCTTCCATATATTCTTCATTGAGTTGAGTCTTAAAATATATTTCTGGAACATTCACTAGAGACATAATGCTAGATGGATCTTGGATTTGGCCCAGGAAGGCAGTGCTAAAACTTTCAGAATATTAAGCATTTCAGGTCAAGGGGGAGAGGGACAGGTGCAGGAGACCAAACAGGAGTTCTTATTCCAGGACATCCCAGGACAGTGATTTCTGACTTATGCTGAGCACTGGAACCACCAGGCAGTAGCTCTGGTCAGTGACATCAGGATTTCTGAGGCCAGGATCCAGGTAGCAGGGAGCTATTGTCGTGGATGAATCATGGTCTCTGAATCCCTTAATATTATTAGTAGGATAAAGATACTAAGAATGTCCAAGGTGAAAACTTAAGCAACCAGGGATGTCATGACTCTCATCTTAGGGGACCTGCCTACTCTTCCACCAGCTGAGTCCTGAGTAGCTCTGTGGTTATTTAAAATAAGTGAAAAGTAGAAATGAAACCCAAGAGTGGATATTCATCAGAAAAAAAAGTCTTAAGCAAGAAAGCTAAAAGATAATTTCTGTTAAATAATGAACACTCATAAAACAGCAGTGTAATGGTATTAAAATGTCTGATTACTTATTTCTCAGCATTCGTCTGATAACTTAAGCAGCATGAAGCAGTAGTTGCACTTAAAAAAATGACAAGAAAATAGCTATTCATTTAGTTGACAGGGAAGGTTCATTTCCTTTTCAAGATCACTGGTGTCACTGCTTATTACCAGGGTGAGTGTCAACACAGGTGTCTTTATGCTGAGACGGTGTCCACAGTTCCTTTGCCTACAGTTCCTGGAGTGAACCTCGGTCCTTTCAGGAGGGGTTTTGGGAGGGGCTGCGGCCTGCCCCCTGCCCTAGATCAAGTAGGCCCCAAGACTGCATATTGCTGCGTGATGGCTGCTGAGTTTGGACACGTTCCAAAGGAGGCCTGATGTTCCTAGGCTGGGGGCAGCATGGAGGGAGTGTCTGCTGGGCCTGGGGCAGGCCCAGTGCTATCCTGGCATTGCATTCTCAGGGCTGGACCCTTCTGAAGACCAATGACAGCTGGGAATCCTGCCAGCAGTTTTTTCTTTCTTCCTGCCAGCCCCCTTTTCTTCCTGCAGGGAAGGTTCATGGACGGGGGAAATGCCGGAGGAGTCAAGCAGGGCCACAGACAGAAGTGACGTGTCCCCTGCCCTCTGCCTATTGCACCATATTTCATAAAAAATAAACACATTTGTACTGTTTATATATTGCTAATGCTATGGCATCCCAGGTACTGGCAGCTGCAGAGAGAGCTGCACTGTCATGAATCCACCAGAATCCATCCAGAGACAGCCTTGCAGGTCAGGATCTTTGGAGCTTCCCTTTGGACGGGTCAGCAGTGCTCATCTGCCTCGTGCTCTACACAGTGCTGTGAAAATGAAATTAAGGGATAAAAACAAAAGAAATCCATGGGTAGAAAATCCCAGGGCTTTATGGAGTTGTTTGGCAATAACTTATAGTGTACAGCATCGCACAGGTGTGTCTACCTGTGTGTCCACCCCTTGCCAGCCCTGCCTTCTCTGCATCTGTGTAGGACTGGCCCCAGGTTCTTTCCCTATGCGCCTGGATGAAGCTCATAGGTGGTTGTTCTTGGAGAGGTAGGCGATGAGGGCCACGGCCACGCCCACGTAGATGCCTGTTCCGATGGTGATGGACAGCACAGCCAGGAACAGGGCCCGCCGGGAGCTCGTGCTGGCTTGGTGGAAGTCCCCCTTGGCTACGGCTTTGTTCGTCTATTGGAGAGAAAGGAGGGAGGAGAAAAGGAAGTCAAGAGGAGCAAGTGGAAGCAAATGAAGTGAGCGTAGTGCTCACCTCTGGCGCCCTCCAGCCTCGAACTTAGCTGACACCAGAGAGGGAGGACTCATTACGAGGTAACTGGGCATGCTCCCAGCTGTGGTGGCGGCGGTTCTGTAACTGGTGAAGAAGAAATGCGGGGGCTATTGCTCCCCTACACTGCAAGGCAGTCAAAGCTTTAAAAAAGGAAAGGGGGCAGCCCGGGTGGCTTAGTGGTTTAGCGCTGCCTTCGGCCCAGGGCGGGATCCTGGGGATCCAGGATCGAGTCCCAGGTCGGGCTTCCTGCATGGAGCCTGCTTCTCGCTCTGCCCGTGTCTCTGCCTCTTTTTCTGTCTGTTACTCTCATAAATAAATAAACAAAATCTTTAAAAAATAAAAAAGGAAAGAGCCCCCAGGAATACCCGTGGCTGGCATCGCTCCATCACCAATGTGGGGCCCAGGACCCTGGGCATCAGGATGTGAGGGACAGAACAGATATTACATTCTCATTTCTACCGAAGGATGATACTTTCTTTCATTTGAATAACACTGAATTAAAACAAAAATATGTTCACACTTACCTGATTTAATCTTTACATAGTAGGAGTGTGGGGAAGGAAAGTCTAGTTCTCACTTCCCAGAGAAGAAACTATGGCATAAGATCATTAAGTCGGTTGCAGGACACCTAACACTTCCACTGACGATGGGATCATGCATTCCTAACTACGTCCTTCCTCACCATAGCTGGAGTGGATAGAAGTGAGCCATGAATAAAATATTTGATATAAGACCAGTACCCATATTTTTGTTCACTCAGTTGGTAGTTGCTTTGATAAGATTCATGTTTCTTGGGGTCACAAGGTGGATAGGCACATGGAGGTTTGGGACAAAGTGTCTGGTAGTGTATTTTGTAGCAGACCCCATATACCCACCCTCAATCCCTTCCTCTGTTGTCCTCCTCCACAAGTGAGATTCAAAATGTGACACAAGAGTGTAGGAACCACCATGTGCTTCAGCTGTAACCATCCTGAAGAGATCAGCTGAGTAAAATGGTGAATTTGGCTGATGGGAGTGGAGGCTACCATGGACCCTAACCCCTGGGAGGGTCAGGTGATGCTGTGGAGAGCTAACCCCAAGCTGGCTGGGGCTTCTTTATGGTCAGGATAAAGGCAGAACCCACTCCCCAGGTAGATAGCCTAACTCATTCTCTGGCCCATCTCCAGAAAGCCAGTTTTTCACTGGGTCGCATCTCCACATGTCATCAGTGGTATTTCTGCACTGTGAAGGCTGGTATGAGAGACAGTGTGTTGTTTACTCAAACTAAAATATGCCACCTCATCTGCAATGGATCACAACGGGTCAGACTCAGAGGTAACTCGTGAAATGAATTCCCACCCTCCACAGTCCTGGCCCTGATTGATGAGCTATGGAGCTCCGTGTCGGGCTGAGAAGGCACCTTGGTCTACTTGGTGGCCTCTCTTTCTCTACCTGCTGGATGCTGGAGGTCAATTTTTGCTTTCCTCTTCTAATTTTCTGGTTTGGAAGGGAGCTTGGGAGATCACTGCCGGCAGTTCTTGATGAAACAGAGCTCAGGGAATGCAGAATGGGAAGCCTCCTAGGACAATACCAATTAATTAATTAAGCCTTAATTAGCTGCATTTCATTTTATCTAGCGGTACTCCCAAACACTCCAGTGTCCCATAACATCATTCACTGGAAATGCCCTTCCTTAGCCGGGTGGCCACCCTCCATCGGAATGGGTTTTGCTGCTCTCTGGCATTATCACCACCCTGGGCCCTGTTGCAGGAGAGGACACAGATGTGCAGAGAAGAAGTCAGGGCACACTGGGCACTCCTTCCCCCTGAACATGGGCCCTGCCCGGAGCGCCTTTGTCCCAACTGGCCTATGCATTGGAGCTGACCCATTTCTATAACTATGTGAGTAGCTGCCTTCCTGGCTCAACTCCAGAGGCAGGTCCTTGTCTGCTTCATCCATGAGGTGTGCCTTGGAGCCTAGAGGAATGGAGGAACTCACTGAACACTTGATGAATGACCAGATGAGTGGGCTGTTCAAGATTAGCTCCCTTCAAATGCTCCCAGGTGCATGATCCTGGTTCTCTGGAGGCCTCTGTGAGGAAGGTAGTGGCAGGGGGCAGCCTTAACCTAAGCTGTGGCCCAACTCCACAGGCCTCCCCTCTGGTGCCTTCTGAGCCCACAGTGCCAGCGCTCTCATCCTCAGGAGCCGGAAGTGTCTGCTGGGGAATCCACAGTTTACTCTCACGGTCCAAGCTGAGAGAACCCCATCAACATTTTGTTTGGTTATAGGGCAACTGTCCCAGCAGGAAGTGTGTTGTGCTGGAGATGCTATCAACTGAAATATGTCAGAAACATCAAACAGATAGATCCCCATTGATAATCAGGCTGCTTTTCAGCAATGCTATTCAATGTCTGCATTTTGCAGAAGCTCCTGGAACTAGCCACACTGTTTGCACTCCACAGACTGGGCATCCTGGTCTAACAAAGGTGGTGTCCGGCACATCCTTTGTTGCAGACAATGGATCCTGTGGCTACAAGGCAGGTTGTACATCCTTCTGAGAGGCTGCAATCTCAGAGAAATATTTCCATCCTGAAAACTTCTGGGCTATGTGTCCAGGCTCTTCTTGCTATGCAGGAGGGCAGGGGTTGTTGTCCTGGGTCCAGGGGTCGACAGAGACCTCATGTTGAAAGCAAGACTGTGTATGCATGTGCGTTTTTATGAGATGAGGGTCAGCCATGCTTGCTGGATTCCCAAAGCAGCCACGTTCTCAGCTGCCCTGACTGCTGCATTGGGGTGGGGGGCTGTGGTGAGGAGGAAAGGAGGTATCAAGGAACAGCCAAGCTGGCAACTCCTGGTAGGGACAGGAGGATGTCACAGATGCTTCTTGGCTGGAATAAGCAGATGTTGTTTGCTTGTCCCAATTTGGAATATAGACTTGTCTACACCCTGGTCTGCACATGCAGCCCATGGTTTGTAAGTGAGCATGCTGTAGGCACGCTGAGAGCCCTCACTCAGGATGGCCCATGGGTATCGTTAGCTTAAACTGTGCCACATCAGACAGCTCTGCAACAGGAGTCCCCAAACCTGGTGCACATTCCAGCTGCCAGGGAGCTTTGTGAACTGTGCCCTGGTGGCACCCCGGCCAGGGAAGTCAGAAGCTCTGGCCTGGGACCTGGCTTCTGTGCCTTTCATGCTCCCAGGTGATTCCAAAGTGTAGGCAAGATGGAGAGCAAGGTGGCCAACTGTCCTGGTTTGCGCAGGACTAAGAGGGTTCCTGGGACCTTCAGTACCAGAATAGGGACAGTCCAGGCAAACTGGGATGAGACTTTGCTTCGCAGGAAGACAGCCCTGGATCTGGCATGGAGAGCATCCTCGTGACCCACATTTTTCCAACAGAATCATTGTTTCATGTGAGCAGGCTCGTGGTAGAGGGAATGATATTGGGGGAGTTGAAGCTCAGGGGGTGAGCTCAGCCTCTTGCAGGGTACTGACAACCTGAGGTCCGCCCTCATGTTTGGTTGTGGGAGCTGTGTGCCCTGATGGCCTGTCTGACTGGTGTGCATGGCACTGCTTTGATTCGTACAACTGGACGCTTGCAGGAAGAGAAGCCACCCACACCCTGGGCCCTCATAGTTTTGTTTTTACCTTGGAGGGTGTTATTTCCAAACCTCATTTCCTCTTGACTGGTGTGTGGCCCCCAGGAGTTTATAATTTGCTGGTATTTTACCTCCTGATAGCCTCCTTTCTAATAATGGCAGCATCGGGCTCCCCCTGTTTTTGCAGGGCCATTAAGCCCTGCAGGTGGGGGCCGCATCCCTAATCCTAGTTTGTCCTCCTAGGAAAATGCCTCCTGCCGTGGCAGGTAATGAGTGCCAAAGGAAACAGAAGGCTGGTCCACTTTATGCACTTTGTTCTTGGACATTGAAATGGCTTCCTTGAGCAGTCTTGGGCTTGTTAGGGGATCCTGCCCCAGGTTTGCCTGTACCTCTACCACTTTCTCCAAAATGCTGCCCATGGCAGACTTGCTCATGGGGTCTCTGGCAGTGCCTGCTGTTGGTCCCTATGGCCTGCTGCATGGCATGTGTGCTTTCTGACCCTGGATCATTTCCTGCCTAGCCTCATCTCCTCCCACAGTGGGGTGGCCTGCCACCAAGGCCCTCCCATCGTGGGGTCCAGGATACTACCAGTGTGTGACTTTACTTCAAATCAAATGCTCCACTGACTTTAAAAGGGGAAGAAGGACTCTGAGACTCAGTGTTCCCATCTGTGCAGTGGGCCCATGGGACTGAGGCAGGCCTGGTCAGTGGGGGCTCCGATACTGCCTCCTGTCCTTTGCCCTCTGGACCCATGCTCCTTCCACGTGGCTTGCCTGTGGCCAGGAGGCTGCCCTGGCTCTTTCTCTGGTCCCCAGCTTCTCCCTGAGTACTGCCCAGCAGCTCCATCAGACTAGAGGAGGGGATGGGCTCACCATTTGTGAAGGCCCCAAAACTGATACCTCCTGTGGGTTCTAATGCTCTGTCCTACTCTCTCTGGCCCTCTGCGTGGTGGTGGCTCTGATGCACCTGCCCCAGTCACTGCACTGTCCCTTGAGGCCCCAGGCCAGCCACCTTTGTAAATCAGTCCCCCCAAATGATCTAACTGGGGTGAACCATCTATTTCCCTGAAAGCAACAGCTACAGCTACACTGCTGATAAGATGTTTGCATCAGCCATGATCTGGCTGTGAGGACCTGACCTGTAGGCTTTTTGTCGCCGATGAGATGCTTTCTGGCATCTGGGCACCCAACCAGCCTGCTCTCTCCTGATGGCTGTGGTCATCATCCACTGCCGAGAAACACTTCATCCCTAACTTTGTGGTTTCAGACAAGAATAAACACTGATTTCTCTACCAGTTTCTGAGGGTCAGAAATTTGAGAACTGCTCAG